CTGTGCCCTTGTGAATACACACATGAACACATACACACTGAACAGATTTACTCCCTTCTGCTGGAAGGACATCAAAGGGGCAAAAGATATAATGGCTGATGCATGCACAGATACTTCTGCATTAAAAAGATATCACATAAATCTCCTAGTACAGTTCTGGAGATTCACTGTGCAAATCTAGGTCTGTGCCTTAACTGTTGTCGAGCAAGCACTGTTGGCTTGTTATGGAAGAGCTCCTTATACCCAAGGTAGTAGCAACATATTTGGTCTTCCACATTATCTTTCACTGTCAGTCAGAAGGATACTGATTCTTTGCTTCCAAGAGGGGAGGGACAATCAGGGGAGGTATATATATTGCATCTACAAGTGATATCCCCAACACATGGAAATACTTTTTTCAGGGCCAAGACAAGCATGTATTTTTATATGCTTTATTAGTGAGACAGAAAGAAAAAAAGAAGCTTACAAGTGAAAGGGAGTGCAAGGCAGAGAGATGATCCAACCAATGACTTGTTGAAGGTATAATGTGATGCTCTTATTCCTTTTGACAATTTCGATCCTAACCTTTCTCTTAGGATCAGCAGTTCACACTTGAAGTTAGGTAGTACAGAGCTCCACTAAGATCAAGGAATCCTTTCTGTCTATGCTGGGGACAGAAAAATAATTTCCATGTTTTCTGTATGGATGCATGGTGAGTGGATTATTATTTTATTCTTTATTTTGTGTTTTTGGGGTGAGGGGGATCTATGTGTGAATGATAAGAGTATGTGTCTGTATGTTTTAAAAATACATTTAAAGTAGTCAAAGAAAATGTAGTTTAGCATATTGAAAAGACCTCAGGTAGAACAATATGTACAATTCTGGTTACCAATCTTCAAGGGAAAAAAAAATAAAAACCGTCTCAGATACAAAGTGCTATTAAGATGATCAGTCTTGAGAATTTACTTTGTTTATAATCATAGAATCATTGAATCATAGAAAACCTGGAGTTTTCTAGATTGTTAAAAGGAAGATTACAATTGAGAGGGGAGTGTTAGGAAAACAGATTAACCCATTGATGGTTCACTGAAGGTATATTGTGATGCTCTTGTTCCTCTTGACAAAGTCCTTCCAATAATTCTCTTCACATCAGTAGTTCACTCATCAAGTTATGTAGTGCAGAATCCTAGCAAGAGCAAGAACTCCTGAGACTGTCTGTATGTCTGTCTATGCTGGGGACAAAAACGCAATTCCATATTTTCTGTACAGATGTATGATGAGTCCTTGGGGATGTGCTGTCCCTGACAGCCCCAGCTTCGATAGTGACAATCAGTTCTGCACCTGGCCCATGCCTGAACCCTGCAATGAATCAGAAATGGTGTATTTTTCTACTTAAGGCTCCTGGGGAACTACAACTGGTGGTTCTCCGAGTGTTGCTTCATTCACTCTCACACATTATTTTTTTCTCAAAATGAGCAATATTGTCCCCCATCTTTTTAAACATAGCCACCAAATAACCAGTAATGCAATGGTGCAGCCAGCAAAGCAAATAAAACTCTGGCTTGCATCTACCAATGCATCTCAAGCAAGACCCAAGAAGTTCTCCTCCCACTTTACTCGGTCTTGGTGAGGCCACAGCTGGAGTACTGCATCCGATTCCGGGCCTGACACTTTAGAAAGGATGTAGAGAAGCTTGAGAGTGTCCAGAGGAGAGCCACACACATGATTAGAGGTACATAAGGGGTGTGCAGCAGGATCTGGGAGAATGTCAGTTCACTAGCGCATCCCAAGGGAAGACAAGATCTAATGGTCACAAACTGCTGGAAGACCATTTTAGACTGGACATGAGGAAAAACTTCTTTACTATCCGAGTCTCCAGAGTATGGTATAGACTCCACCCCAAAAGTGGTGCAAGCACCTACACTGGATACCTTTAAGAAATGTTTGGATGTTTATCTTGCTAGGGTGATCTGACCCCAGATGACTTCCTGCCTGTGGTAGGGGGCCTGGACCTGATGATCTCGCGAGGTCCTTTCCAGCTCCAATGTCTATGAAATCTATGAAACATATCCAGTGGTGGAGGTCATGTCACTTTTCCTTCAATCAATAGCTCAGTTTTTAGAACATTTATCCAGGATATGAGATACTTGTATTCAATTCCCCCCTGTGCATGAAGGAGCAAAAATTCACACATCTTAGGAGAGTGCCGAACTAGCAAAGTAAGCACCCGGGAGCTTAATGTTAAGGGCAATCACCTTATAGGTTTCTCCTCAAGTTTGGTCCTCACTCTCTGTTACTTTCTTCCCTGCCACCCCAAGTACATTTAACATAGAATAGAAAAGCTTTTTTTGGGGAAGAGTCCATAATCAAGGATTCCCTCCTCACAGGTGAGTCATGTTCCCTTTTCTTCTCTCTGGCCCTATAATCCTTAAAGTCTAGTCTGTGCAGTGCCACTTTTTCCAGAATCGTAACCCGCCGTAAGCATGAGGACTGCCTGTAATCGCATTTGCAATGTGGCAACTGCCCTTTGTCTTCCTAATTTCTAGGTATTTCCTTTTTCACAGACAGCCTCTTTCCTACTTTGAATTACTACTACTGTAGAGTCTCCCTTGCTCACCTTGGGTTTCTTTTTTCTCCCAGCTTTTCCTCTCCTTTCCTTGCTTTACCTTTTGCTTTCCTAATTTCGACCTATTTACATTTTCAATGGCATCCTGCCACACTTTTAGCTTCTCTCATTTCTTGGAGTCTCAGAATAGCATAGACTCCCTATACCTGAAGAAGGGTGACTGCGCCAGAAAGCTTGCTAAGAACTTTTTTTCCAATTACTCAGTTGGTCTGGTAAAAGATATCACATCTTCTCATAGAACCTTGCCTATTTAGTTTAGCTTTTTATTAAGACTTTTGACAATGTCAATGAAAAGGATTCTTCCATACAAAATCCATTTACAGACTCTGCTTCTCTGCGGTTCTCAGCCTCTTTCCCCCCTTGTGGTCCTTTGGAGCTATTGGCTAGCATGTGCCTAAAACAAGCACTGAGTTCTCTACTAAATTACTTCACTGCCTAACTGTAGGCAAAAAACTGAGGGTTTAAGTTAAGAATTTAATATACATTCATGCTATTTGTCATATAATCAATATGACTAGAGATTATTCCAAAGTACTGGCAATGACTCGAAGAATGGATATCCCAAATTAAGATATGCAGATACGATTTTTTGAACGGAAGTGAAAAGAAGGAAGAATGCATGGTTGACTGAATGAATAACTTGTCTTGAGAATGTAATAAACACATCTTGGGTATCATCATTTTTTTCAGTTAGGTGAGCAAGGTAAATCATGTGGTTTCAAATAGATTTGGTCCCAATCCTGCACCAAAAATCCATGCAGGAACCTATTTACAATTCAGCATGCTTTTAGATATTTACAGTAGCTGCCTGTGTAAATCCAGTGCAGTCAGCTGGGTTTTTTTTTCCAGTGCTGTTCTACTGTGAAATGTATTCACATGAACTAACATTTACAATTCAAACATCCCTTTTCTTTGCTCATAAGGAATACAATCAGCTAAGGCTTAAGAAAAAAGGAAGGAGGGAAAGTCAACAATATTAATGGATTTGGAAATGGATTCTTCCTCTTCTTGTAGATAAAGAAGTACATATTATAATAAATCAAATTTAGCCTTAATGGGAACCAGTGGGTTACCCATATTTGACTCAGGGGAAAAAAAGGCAATGGGGTCAAACAGATGTCTGGATTAGTTTGTGATAACCTGTATTGCTGAAGATAAAAGTCTTAGGTGCCTCTCAGTTGTAGATGCTAAACATTAGACAAAAAGGAGATTTTTTTTTTAAAAGAAAGTGCTAGGTCAGGAATATTGGAAAATAAGGATCATTCTTACTAGTGGTGTCCATCCTCGAGAACATGGGCCAAATCCAGCCTGCCAATAAGCCTAAAAACATGGTGGTGAGGAAGAAGTTGCATCATTAATTGCTTTGACTTCCAAAGACTCAATAATTTATGTCACCAGCACTCCCCTGCTGCCAAATTACTGGCCCTGTGTGGAGCCCTGTGAGCCAGATCATATTGCCCATCATGACAATGCACAGGGACAGACCAGCATGTGGGATTGCTCCAGGGCCAGATCTAGCATGCAGGGCTGAGACAGTGTCCCAGATCATACCCATAGACTCGCCCCATGTATTGACCCCAATGCTGGATTCTGCTTATTGATCAACCCTGCTTGTGGAATTTGGTCTATGGACTGGCTGTCATAATTCCTCCAACTCTCAGCACCAAACAGATGGGCACCGCTGTTTTATCGTGTCTTGAGAAGACCTTCTAAAAAGTAGGAAAAACAAGAGCGTCACCAACATCTTGAAAAGTTTTAGCCTGTAACCTTTTTTCAGAAACAAAGAACAGCTATAAATTTTCATATCTGATGTGTTTAACATGCATGGAAGGAAACTTGTGAAAGACAAGTTATTGTTTATGTTGAAACTTGCATGTCCAGTTGACACAGGGATTTCAGCACCACTGTTTTAGGCCACTTGTGTGCCGAGATGATGCTACCAAGCTCATTTTAGTAGTAGGCAACTATTAGACTTCTAGGTCATAGAGTATGCCCCGGACCTTTCAACAGGACCTTTGTCATATGCACCTAAGCATGACTCTGGAGGATGCCCAGACCTTGCATCCCCCCCACTTTAGACCATTGACTCAGAATACAAAGGCCAGACTGAGTTTGGATTTTTGGAACCTCAATGGCTATAATCATATGTGCATACAGGCATCAAACCTGGGTTTCCTAGCACATTGAGATTGGAAAAATCAGGGAGCTATTTTTTTTTAACTGGAAGTAAAACCAAATTATTTAAAAGTGAGATTTCTGGTGAGGTGGAAACCTGCTTCTCAGCAGTTAAAAAATGTCACCTCATTCATCTGTCTAGCTCTGTTTCTCTTCACCTCATGTACATTCTTTGACTGTCGTTATGATAATTCCTCTTCTTACAGGTTACTCTCTGAGAATGGGAAACCAAACCACTGTGACTGAGTTTATTCTCTTGGGACTTTCCAGTGATCCACAGCTCCAAATTGTAATGTTCTTTGTGTTTTTGGTGATATACATAATCACTCTAGCAGGGAACACAGTCATCATGCTGGTGATAAGAGCTCATGCTCACCTTCATACCCCCATGTACTTCTTTCTGTCTCATCTATCCTTTGTTGACATCTGCTATTCCTCAGTCACCATCCCCAAGATGTTGGTGAATTTACTAACAATGAATAAAACTATTTCCGTCAATGCTTGCTTTACCCAGATGTTTTTCATTTTTTTTTCAGCTAGTTGTGAAAGTTTAATCCTCTCAGCAATGGCTTATGACCGCTATGCTGCCATATGTGATCCCCTGCATTATGTGGGAACAATGAACAAAAGAGTGTGCAGGCAGCTGGTGGGTGGTTCCTGGACAATAAGTATTATGCATTCACTGCTCAACACAATTCCTGTATTACAGCTGGAGTTCTGTGGGCCCAATGAAATTCGGCATTTTAGCTGCGAGCTTCCCCAAATACTAACGCTTTCCTGCACTGAGACACTTGCCAACAAAATAGCCCTTCTTTCTTCTGTTCTGGTCATTGGTTTAGGCAGCTTCCTTCTCATGCTTGTTTCCTACATCCATATAATCTCCACCATCCTGAGGATACGTTCTGCAGAAGGCAGAAGAAAAGCCTTCTCCACCTGCAGCTCCCACCTCGTTGTGGTAACTTTACTGTATGTAACAGCCCTTGTCCAGTACATGAAATCCAGCTATGTTTCATCATTGGTCCTAGATCAAGTTTTTTCCATCCAGTACAGTATCTTAACCCCCATGTTAAACCCCATCATCTACAGTCTGAAAAGCAAAGAAGTAAAAATAACTCTTGGTAGAATATTAAAACGATCAAGTTCTCAAAGTATTTAAACTGATTTTACAATTCTGAATAATTGAGTAAGCTTAACTATATATAATTTAAAACATAATATTATTGCATGTAGATTTTTGGGTGTTTTGAATTCATGTACCTGAATGATACTGGAAAACAAATGTCAATAAATATCATCATAAAAACTATCCTGGGTTGTAGGTGCCATTGAATGTATAATTATCAAGGAAAGAAAAACACTACAAGGATTTTGTCTAGACTTTGAAAACAGACTGTGCTTGGGTCAAGTTAAGCTATGACAGCTCTGCCCACCCAAAAATGGCTGTGTATAGATTTTCTGGCATATGTCGGTAATAAGATTTAACACATGTCCTCCTTGAAATGGTGCTTAGAAGTTTAAGAGCTGAGATTATTTTGACATTAAATGGGTAGTGAACACTGCAGACATAAGGGTCCTTTATGACATGCCTTGTATATCGTATGATGGGATTTTCATACATGAGAGACAGGCAGGTAGAAGAGATTGGAGAAGAAGGAAGACTTCAAACAGTTGACTAATTAATTCAAGACACATGACTATTCCCTGAATCTTCACCTGTTAAAATAAAAGATCATATTTTGATCCAGTGGCTTATCAACAATCCTATCCTCCATGAAAGACCATTCAAGAAGTTTGGTAATCCAATTCAATTGCCTTTAAAAATCAGCAGAGAGTACCTCATCCCTGAGATCCATAAGGAAGCTCATTGTATATCCTATCAGGCTGTTATTCTGGCAACTGAATCAGGGGGGAAACAATGAGAAGAGGTGGACTTTGTAAAACATGAGTGCAAAGAACTGGAAAGCATATTGTAATCACTTTGTAAATGCGCACTGCATCATCTAGACCCAGTTCTTTGCATAATAACAAAAACAAAAGCTGGACTATCTTGCTGGAGCCTACAGAAACCTTTCAGAGATATGAAAGACATTTGGGTAAGAACTTAGACCCAAGTAAATGAAGAGTAACTCTCTTGAAATAAAGACCTGGGGAAGTTAGAATGCAGTAAAGTAGCCTTCACTATAGTTTATTGTAATACCATCATACATTCAAAACTCTAATCCATTATATTAAAAGTAGATTGATTAGTTCTGTAAAATACCATCAGCAACAAGTGACATACAGTATATACTATATGTTAAACCCTTGTTAATTTGACATGCATGAATGGCATACACAAATCCGTGTAACTTCAATTACTGGTACTTACACACAGTCTCCATTTCAGTTACTGGTACTTACACACAGTCTCCATCTGTTTCACTAGATAGCTAGACAGACAGACAAGGTGTGCACAAGAAATCACATTAAAGTGAGTGAATATAAATTTGGAATGTATTACAGGGGAGATGAGAGCTAATAGCTGTTCAAATGCTCTGCTTACTTCTTGCTAAGTGAATGCTAAACCAGAAAAGTATAGCCCCATTTCATTTGAGTGTAAGCTGCTGTGATTTACTTTCCTTTTATGAAGAGATTCTTTTACACATACAAACACTTATAGCATGTCATCTGTGCTGCGATAGATTCTCACCTGTCCTTAACTTGTTTTGATTGCATGTCTACATGACATATTTCTTTCCTCCTATAGAAAATAATCCAATTGTGCCTCCAGCGATCATTAGATTGGTGCCAGTACTCTTAAGATGCACTCTGTCCATACATACGGAATATCAGAGCTCTTGTGTGCAAAAATGATCATGCATTCATGGTTCCTTTAACCAAAAATAAACTTGTACTGAAATAATGGTCTGTGATGGGTCAATGTTACACATTGTCGTTGTTTTAAACTCTTAAGTATTTTAATGAATTAATCCTCAAAACAGCTGTGCAAGGAAGGGCCAATTATCTCTTTATGAGCTGGGAAAAAAAGCACAACCCCCCCCCCCCCCCCCCCCCAACAAACCTGTGGCAGAGAAAGAAGGGCCAAACTTTGAATAGGACAGAGGCACATTCCATTGAAATCAATGGGACTTAGGCACCTAAAAGAAATTCCCACTATGGACCTGATCCTCTGGTGAAGTCTACATAGTTGTGTCTAGGGTCAGTTCTTGAGGACTTGATCCATCTGACTACAGCTACATAATCTTGGGTCTATCTTAGACGACCTGTTCCTGATCCAGGATTCTGTCCAGTTGCCAGGTAGGGATGCCGTGCCCCTTGATTTGCCAGAGATTTATGACTAAATGGATTCTTAGTCTTTCCTGGGCAATATGTGGCTGTTTGGCTTCATCTTCCATTTTATGGGGTTCCTCCAAGTGCTCTACATATCTCTGTAGTTGCTACACAACTCTGGTTAGGCTCAATTGGGTCCTGAATGAATCTCTGCCCTTTGGTCAAAGCATTTTTTAGGCCAGATGTCTATCAGGATCATTGATCCCTTTTTCTATTTTCCTGCAAGAAGATAAAGGGGATGATGCTCCAGGAGCACGGCTTACAACTGGACCTGTTGGTGTTTGCTGATGATATACTCCTCATGATTAAGGAAACAGGAGACGTATAGAGGCCACCGAAGCCGTGTATATTGTCCAACCTGTTTTCCATGAGTTAACTGAGCCAGGGGGTGACCAGTTCATGGCCATTCAGTCCACAGGTTACCAAAGTGGAAGACAACGTCAAGCCAGGTCTCAGTCTAAGTCTGACATACCAAGCCAAAGACAGATATGAGGTTGTGGCAGCACAATTAGTTGATCCATGTCAGGAAGTTCAAGATAGGAACAATCAAGAATAAGCATGGAGCCACAAACTAGAAGCTCAGAGGCCGGAGTCAGGTTTAGGAGTTCCAAGCATGCCAGGGGCACGGCAAGGTGGTTTCCCAGACAGCAATCTTCTATTTGCATTGCAACAACAAGATCTGCCATAGCCACTGAAAGTGGTGACCATCTAGTGAAGTCTCTTCTATACATCCTTGACCTGAACTTACAGAATCTGGGCATCCTCTCATTGCACTTGTGAATGGTCCTGGTGTAGCAAGAAACCCTTTTGTCTGCCCCCTCTCAAATGTGAAGCTCCTCCATATGGCAAAAGCCCCTCTTTTAGTAGTTTGCCCCTTTTGGGGATGCTTTCTTTTCTATATTTTATCCCTTCCTCTCTCTTTCTTTTATCATATCCTTATTATTTTTATATAAAGGTGTATTTGTAGTGAAAAATAAAGTACATTTGTAAAAGCATCTACAAGCTCTAAGTTTAAAAGTAAGTTGTACCATGTAACAGTGTTAGGAAGAGCAGAAATCTCTGTTTGGAGCAGGTTACTGAATGAATCATGGTTGATTGTGTAACACAGTAGCTAGTCTGGCTAAGCATGTTAATGAGTGGCAATTAGCACCTACAAAATCATAGACCAAGGAGAGGAAAGAATCAATAAGGAGCCAGGAATTCCCAGAAACTTCATTGTTAAAGGTACGGAAGCCCCCGTTTGAACTAATCAACACTGGAAACAGACCCTTGGGGCCGAAATACCCCCTGACCAACCACTTCCAGAGCTCTATTCAGCATGGCAGTGAATCAATCAAAATTCATCAATGGACTCCTGAGACTGCACGTATGTGCAGACATGACCCCTGGGGCTGACAGCTGCTATCCAGCAGCTACCAAGAGGGACGTCCCTCAGGGTCAATGACCCCTGGATTGGGTAAGCCCAAGAATTGGGGAGTCACCAAAGTCTGCCAGAGAGGGATAAAAGGCAGTGACAAATCACCCACAATGGCACCCTCTTTGACCTGACCAGCACCCTGCCTGTCTAGCCAGAAGGACCAGCTGGTGCCCCCCCTTCTGCAGCAACATTGCACTGAAAGAAGCCTCGACTGGCCATCGACGGCAGACTCCAGTGCTTGGGGATAGGTCCATCTTGACACCAGTGGTTAGTGTTCAAAGCTAGCTACTGTGAGTGTGTGTGCGCACGCATGAATGTGTGTGTGTTTGAGGGGATCAGCACCAAGGTTTATGGTCTGACTTTTGAATCTGTCCAATAAAGTAGAATTTTTATGATGATCCTGTGAGTTGGTGCTTTGTAGCCAACACTGGCAGGTGTCAGTGTAATCAGAAACTTCCTGGACTAAAATCAGGGACACCAAGCAGAGTTTACATTACTTGACTGGCCATGGGATAGGGGTCTTCACCCACAATCCAGTCTCCCATTTTGAATGTGTCTACCCACTCCTAACCTTTAAGCTTCTTCAGCTTACCATTCAATCTTTCCCTCACACATGTCCCTGGGTCCTTCCTGCACACCCCTGCAGTAATTGGCCACCATCCAACCAGCATGCACTAAATGTGTCCCATAACTTTTTGTTCCTGACCCTTGTGCCTCAACCAAATGCTAAGTGGCAAGACTTCCTACTATCTGTGGAGGGCAATGAACCCCATTAGGCCAGCATAAACTTACAACCATGCCCCACAACATAGCACATGAAGCGACCGAACACTTGCCCCTTCTGCTGTGAGAGGAAGGTCAAAGCACTAGACATTGCCCAGTGCATCATATAGTCATAGAAAAGTAAGGCTGGAAGGGACCTCATACAGCCTTCTGCTTAAGATAGGATTGAACCTGACTAAACCATCCCAACCAAGTGTCTGTTTAGCCTACTTTTGAAAGTTTTCAAGCATAGAGAATCCACAACTTCTCTGGGTAGCCTTCTTCAAAACCTGAACAAACCCAGTAAGGACTCATCTTTACTCCCTAGATGCTTTCATGGAAAGGTAGCCTCTGTCAGAGACAGTCTGTTCAATGTACCATTTTAAATTTCAAACCTTTGCCCTAATCCCTGTTTTATCTTTCATTGCTCTAAACTTCATGGTCTAATCCTGAGCTTGTGACTTTCTCTTCTTGGTAACAGGGAGGGGTTGTAACTTTGAAATCTAGATCCAAAATATAGGCGGTGCACTGCCTAGGCCTCTGGTGGGGGATTTTCAGTAGATGGTGCCTAACATAAAATATATTTGATTATTAGTTATAGGTATTATGTTTTTTAAAAACAAAGAAACAATTCTATTAGGGCTGAA